TATATATATATATATATATATCCTGACTTTCAATAAAAACATTTATCATACATTTATTCCGTTTAATAGCGTTCTCTGTACATTTTATATTTTACATATAAGGTATATTCATGAATCCGTGTGATGTGTTCCAATATTTTATAGCGTTCTGTATGTTTGTGTAGCGAGGTATTTGTTGATGCACGGTAATAAATACTAATTGATCTTAATAATCTCAAGTGCTACGAATTAATAACAAAAATGTTAAAATTATATCATGCGTAAACATTTCGATATAAATGAAGATCTGTCTATTGTTCTTGACAAATAGAAGCAGCAAGAAATGAACAAGAACAAGGAGATTATCGTGCTGAATCACAAAAGGTCCAACGCTATCAACATTGGTATGACAAAGCTGCCGCCACCAAGATCCATTAAAACTGCGATCTTAAAAATGGATGCTACAATTATGAATAGAGAGGGTATTGAGGTGAGAATATTGCACATCTTTTTTATTTTTTTTATCCTCGAATTTTATTTTATAGTAATTACTCGTGACAGCTATTAAAAAGTTATATAAAATAAAAAAATATATATTTGTATGTATTTAACTTTAAAAAATACGTACGCATGAGGTATATTTCGAACGTTTTATATTTGTTGATGAAATAAAAATTATTATTCCAAACAGCTTTTCATACAAAGTTGGTCATCGTTATTTTTTATTCTTTGTTTAAATTTCGTAGTTTTGATCTCAGATATTCTTAATCTATTTTTCGATTTTTCTTCGCATATTGAACGTTTGTCCAAATAAAACATACCGATCCTGCTTTAATTTACGTCCGATAACGACTTCACGATTCAGTTGAAAAGCACTCCTATATATCTTAATTTTCGAATTTATTATGATTTCTCTAATTTCCAATTGGCTTTTCTTCTTCGTTCATTCCCTTCCTGCCACGAAATCCTCCCGACAGAAACTTTTGACGATGCTGCCCACTAAGGAAGAAAAATCTAGGATACAAGAAGCGCAGGCCGCCAATCCTGATCTTCCTTTAGGATCGGCGGAGCAATTTCTTCTGACTTTGACCTCCATCTCGGAATTGCCAGCAAGGCTAAAGCTGTGGGCGTTCAAACTAGATTTTGAAAATTCTGAAAAAGTAAGTAAAAATCTTAATATTGTGCATTCTTATATTTCTTCTAGTAAATAATTAAAATTTAACAATAAATTTCTGTCAATTTCGCGAATTATCGATTTTGTAAAATCGCGGTTTTATTTACGATCATGGAAAATCTAAATTCTATAACTTTTCACTTATATAATATTTGTCAATAACTTTATAATTATCATTCTTTGATAAATGAATTATTGTTTGCTCAAATATTATTTAATTAAATAATTTTGCATGTGTTCGCAAATAGCGACTTATCGATAGAGATAATACATTAAATTTTAAGTTTTAAGAACAAAATAAAATTTCCTGTTTTTTTGTCTTTTTTATTTCTTTGATCCATTATTTACGAAGCACAATAATTTATCGAAGGAGACATGTTTGCGTAAACAAGATTATAGACAGCGGTTTTGAAATGGATATTATATTTGCTGAGTTATTGGTGTGTATGATAATTAAATTGGCTTCTTTCCTTTTCTCTCTTTCTTTCTCCTTTTCTCGATTTCGCGCGCGGGTTTCATCGCGAGCGTGAAGACGATGAGAAGGAATGCTAGCAATGCAGTCAGAGGATATCGGTAGCTAGAAGAGCGTTCCTCGCGCGTTTCTCCAACGACAAAATCGCGAATTCCGATATTGTGCAGGAACTAAGAAAAGTCACTTGACGACCTGGCTTCTTCGGTATCGCTCGACCGTAGCCATAGTGCGAAATACCTCTGATCGGGAAATTCGACTCCTTTTATATCTGTTTGCATGCTCACGAAATGTGTGAGAAGATGTATGATGCCATTTCTCAATTAAACCGATTATTTCAAAAATGCATTGCTAAAAAATTGGTAATGATAAAATTAATAAAAATATTCTTGGAAAGTTATAAATTTAAATTGTAAACAAATAATTATAGATTTTAAAATTTATATTTCATATTTATTATCCATAAATGTATACGCTACGAAAGAATACGACCTCATATAAAGAATTATTTTCTCTTTATGATTCAATTTTTTCGCTTCTGGTTAAAATGCTTAAAATTCGCTTCTGGAATCCGCGAATTAACGATCTCACAAATTCCAGTGTGCAACAATGTATGCATAATTATAAAAATCGATACGTTAACGAGCGAATACGCGAAACGAAGAAATAAACGCGCGACGGTCTTTGTGATTTTCAGGAAATCGCGGACCCTTTGATGGATCTGAAGCAGGGTATGGAAACTCTGCGTGTGAATAAAACGTTCCGTGGGATTCTGAGCACGCTTCTTTCGATCGGGATATTTCTCAACGGAAATGAGGTGGGTATTGAATGCCAGCCAAATTATATTCGCTTAATCCGTCTGTCCCGGCAGAATTGTAGCAGTCCAAAGCTCGACCATATCGATAATTTCGTTCTAACTGCTGGCCGAGCGAAATGTCTCATGTGCCACTTGGCTGACTGCCATATTTTTTCGAAAACAATCTCGGTTTAATACGGAGTTTTATTGCAATTACGGCTCGCTATTTATTCCCGGAACGGCGCTGGAATTTTCAAGAGTTATGCCGAGATATTCATTGTATTGGAAACGTTTCATCGCATTTTCCGATGGCTAGATTTGTATCGAATTAATTTTTGATACAATAAATTAATAATTGAATATATGTATTATATGAATGAAATTTTTATGTTTATAATACATATATGTAATACAAAAATTGTATATTGACAAGTTGCAAGGATCTTTGAAATAATAAACTAAATAATTTTACTAAATAATATATATACTACATATAATTAAATTCAAATAAAACGAATACTATACAAAAATCTTAACTAACGTAAACGAGAGATGCAATTATAAATGTTGAATTTACGAAAATTTATATATTTGTATGGTATAAAATTTCAGAGTTATACCTTTATTTAATATATTAATAATAAATTAATAATATAAAATATTTTTCTATACTTGTAAAGTACTGTAACATTATGTTGTATTGTACTTGAATATCTATAATTTTACAATATTGGTATTTATTACAGTGTTTTATACGTTGCTAATGTTTTATATTTGCATTGTTTAAATATATAAATGAACAAATACCAATTCTTACAATTTTTAAATGTACTATCACATCACGCGAGATCTTGACAGAAGTGAGAGATTTAAAAATCGCGTCGGAAGTGTGTTATATATTTATTGACTGCGCGAGAACGGCGACGTTACAAAATTTAAGAATCGATTGAATCTATTTCCGGTGCAATACCATCTTCTTTTATTCTTTATTTGCCTTTTATCTCATAAAAGTCAGAAACTAATATAAACTTGATAAACTTGACAAAAATTAATTATGCTTAGTTTCGCTTATGATTATAGCGTTATGATTATTTTAAGAGAGCTCCATTTCTTTCGCGCGCAAAAATCTCGAAATTTATGAGTGTCGAAACGAGACACGCGATTTTCCCGGCGATGTATCGTGTCACGAGAGTTTCACCCTTTTTCAGGTGAAGGGCTTTCAACTAGAATACCTCGTCAAAGTACCTGAAGTGAAGGATACGGTTCACAAGCATTCGCTGCTTCATCATCTCTGCCACATGGTGATGGAGAAGTTCCCGGATTCTACGGACCTTTATTCTGAGGTGAGAGACTGTTTTAGTTGAAAGCTGAGAAAACTTTACGTTTCGTCGAGATGTCGCAATAGTGCGACCGTATTTACAAAATCGTGACAAAGTTTGTTTGTTCATGTCCGCAAAACTTTTTCAAAGGGCGTTGTCGTGATTTTATTCTGTCCGATTATCTGCGTCGCTCGAGTTTCGAGTCTATGCGGAATTACCTTTTCTTAAATTGCTTTCTATTGACCTCGATTGATTCTGTATTAAAAGTTTCGATTGTTACAATGTGTGCGTTCTCTGTTAAATATTTCTTTTACATTTCGTTAATTTTTATATAGTGGCAATGCATATTAATATCAAATAAATTTGTTTGTCTTACCTCTAATTTTAAATTATACAGATAGCAACTATTTATTTTTTAATATCAATTACATTTTCAAATATGAAAAAATTATATAGTAAGATGTAATAATATAGAGCTTCAGATAATTTTAACAAAATACACTCAATATGTTAACTTGCACTTTTCCATAATAAATGATTTAAATATGTATGCTATCTTTTAAATAGTTGTATATATTTGATTAAATAATATTAGAGAGATTAGTAAAAAATATAATCTTGAAAAAAAGAACATACTTATTAAAAAATGAAAATTAAAATAAAATAGAAACGATCTTGTTGTAGTTACATCTAATTTTAATTCATCATAATTTACGTGAATTATTTCTTTTACATGATAAAATTATTTTTATTATGAATGAGAGAGAGATTATTTCTTTTACATGATAAAATTAATTTTATTATGAAGAGAGAAAGAGAGAGATATGCAATTACTTTAGATCAATTTTAAATTATACCTTTGTATTTATTAAATTGCAATAGCTTTCTCGGTATCGCCGATGTGGTTCTGCTTTCAGATTGGCGCGGTAACGAGAGCCTCGAAAATCGATTTCGACGAGCTGGCGGCGAACATCGCGAAACTCGAGAGCGAGTGTAAAGCGTCTTGGGACCATCTCAAGCTCATTGCAAAGCACGATGGTTCCACAATGATGAAGGTCAAGTGAGTATAATCCTCGTCGAGTTTCCCTGTCTGCGAACCAATTTCCGAGATTCCCTCTTCCTGAGAATCTTTCCGAGCGCTCGCATTTAAGAAGTTCCGAGTTCGATAAATTCGGGAAAGATTTTTTATTTTTAGTGAAACTGGCTACCATCCAAGTGGAACTTTCATTAATTATCGAAAGGACATTTTCTACTCCCTCGAGACTTTCCACTCGGATTTTCCGCCGGTTATCATTCGCATTGCATTTTCAACGTCCCACTAGACTTGCATTTTTTATTTTTCGTGATATTTTTAATTACACTTTTTGTCAAATACTTTATCTTTTTAATGCATTTCAGAATAATTTATTAAAAATATTTCTAATTAATTAAAATATTTCTAATAATTGATTAAAAATATTTCTTCCAGTTTGTATTTGCTTAGAGTGGTTAAAACTCAATTTATTAGAATTATATTAATAGTTATATTCATAGTTTATTCTTGATATATTCAACAAAATTGCTTATTAAAATATAATATATACATTCAATTAAAAATACAGTATTTCCTTTTTGTGCCGCAGGATGTCTGATTTTCTTGCCGATTGCGCCGAAAGGATAATCGTCTTAAACATCGTACATAGACGTATCATAAATCGTTTCCGCAAGTTTATCCTGTGGCTTGGTATACCGTTGCATAGAATACAAGACACTAAGCCGAACGAGTTCTGCAGGGTTGTATCCGAATTTGCTCTGGAGTACAGGACCACCAGGGAGCGAGTGATACAACAGCTCGAGAAGAAAGCCAATCATCGGGAACGCAATAAGACCAGAGGAAAGATGATAACGGAGGTAAGGCATTCTTGTTTCGTATCATCTATTTTTCGTCGAAAAACCTGTATGGCGAATTTCATCGGCTAAATTTATTATTCTTATATCTCCGATGTTGAATATCTCACGGTTTTGAATCTAACCTTTCGTCAATATTAAATTACATTAATTTAAACATATGTGGGGAGATAATTAGATTTTTCTCTGATTTTTACATTTACTTATGCAATAGTGTATGTATGTGTTTGATGTAGATATAAGCATAAAACGCAAAGAAATTTGTTAATATTATATTTTTTTAATATTTGGAGATTGTTATCCAAAAAAATAATTTATATTGTTAAAATATATATTCTCTCATAAAATTCTGCACATAATTTTTTTCAGGTTTGAAATCTCTTGTTTTGTTGCAGGTCGGCAAGTTTCGTACAAAAGAGGATCGGGCGGACGCGGAACTCAGACAACTACTTGGCAGTGACATTTCAGATGTTGAGAGTATCCACGGTACTTTACCATGGCGAAGACAAAGGAAAGACGGTGAGTTCTGTCAGATTCTCTCTCTCTCTCTCTCTCTTTCTCTTCCTAGATTTTCTATCCTTCTATTTTGGTATATGTATATTTTTATACGGCTTATTTTTTCTTTCTTTGCGTAGTAAATTTTGCCTAGTAAACATACAATAATTAAAATTCTACATTATCAATAGCAAGCTATAATTAAATCGTGCATAATACTATTTCAAATGCAACATGCAACGACAGCTATTTTAAATTAAAATATCTAACCATCCATTATGTTCCATTACGCATTATAATACAATAAACGTAATGCGATATTTTGATCAAAAGATATTATGAATTTTTACTGTGTATACTGCACGAATGTGTCACATATGATATGTACGGATTCATTTTTTAACAAATAATCGTGCCGAATATTATAATATTATGCCATCCATACGCGCATTATATTTGTTTTCTTTAGTTTGAAAAATTCATCGCCAATTTATGCATGATCTTCGTGCCTGAAATAAATGTATGACATCTTGTGTTGTATGCACAGAGATATAACAAAGCAAAGTATTTATGAATCAAGTGAAGAGACAGTTTTCGCGATCAGATGAATGAGATTTTATCACCTCGAGCGATTACGACGCCGATATGACGGTGTTCCATCCTCTATTTGGCGTCGCTTTTAACTCGCGAAAATAACGCACTCTAAATGGCGGTGGCCGCGTCGGCTATTCCACCGCGGATAAGAACAAAGTGCGAGGATTTCTCTTCATCTTCGTAATGTTCCAGCTCCGGCGGTGGCGGCGGCGCGCGCGAGATAAATGTCGCCCTTAAGCAGCAGCTCTTGCAGGCAAGATTTAAGGATAGCGCCGGGTCATTTGACGACATTACCGGAAAACGAGAAGTAAATGCGTCGCCGTCCTCGTGATTATACGGCGCGTTCGCGGATCCACTCCCTTTACCCTCGTGTTTAGCGGAACGTGAAACTTACCGGCGCGCGTAAGTCCCCGTTCGTTATCTTCATAGCACAGGGTCTTGTTCTTGGCGAGTTTCCCTTTTATGCGACTTGAATTTTCTCGCTCGAGATTCGCGACTGCGAAATGTTTGGGGGCTGCTTATATCCGTCGTGCCATTAAATCGTAAATGTAAGCTCGGCTGTAAGTAGTATTATCATTGCGAGAAGCGTCAAGATAGGACTTGTCTTCGACGGTCGAGCGTTGTTTTATAAATTCCGTATTTTTGAGAAAAAAATTTCAACTTGAGTAGAATTCTGTTTCACTCATTCTTTATCACGCTTTATGCGTCGTTACATAAGATGATAACATCGCCTCAAGAGAGCAGAATGTAAAAGTAGTTAACTTTCAGGGGGAATATTCGAAGCGACGTAGATGTTATTCGAGTTGCCACAGAGAAAAGTATATAACAACGCGAATAACAGCTTCTGAGAAATTCATTTCTAGAATTCGTTCAAAAAGAAAGAATTTTGTTAGATACATTGTTAAAAATTTTTATCGTAATATTCTTCACAAACTTATTATTTTTTATATTTTTTCTTCTCGATTATTTTTCAACTATTCTCTTTATATATATCAACTGTTATATCGTATATATCTTAAATAAATGTATTCATTGAATATAATTAGCAAATATATATTTCTCGCATTAAGAAATCAATATTGTAAATTAGTATATTTCTAAAATTTGTCTACTTTCATAGAGATCGAAATTTCGATCTTTCTCAATTTAATTTTTGGAAAGCATAATTAAACTTGAACATTAAAATTAATGAATTGTTAGAGATTAACTATTTATTAATTAATTACGGTGTATATTTAATTAGTTCACGTTTATAAATATATTTACTTTCACTTTGATTTAATATTACAAAGATGTTTTATTTTTATTAGTTTTTAGATATTTTTTTATAAATATTTAAAATATTGTGATTCTATCTAATCTTGATAAAGCAGTCAGATATTCAGCATTGAATTTAAGATCGAGGATCCATCCATTCAAGGTACAAAGATCTATCTCTATTACTTATGAGCAAAACCCCGTATAAGCCATTTCGGGAAGAAGATTCAACAGAAACGACTGACACACGTCTGGATCTCGTAAGACTATATTACATTGTAACCGCGGATCACCACTTTCTTGTGAGGAAACGTGGAATTTTTATTCCTGCTCCCTTCTGGTAGAGGAGAGGTACGTGGAGAATTGGACCGACTCGAACAAGGGTTGGTATCCACCCAGCCCTATACGGCTCGTAAACCTAACCACTCATGTGCATTACCGCGGCTGTGGCCATCATAAATTTTCTCCCCTTTATTCCCGTGCATGCTCCGACATAAAATATCTAAACGTCGCGTCTAAGTCGCGCTAGCGTTTCCAGCTGGATGTGGCGATCCTCTAGCAGTCTTAATAGCTATAAAAATCTCATGAATTGTGCGACGATAACTTGTTTCGATAGTTTGTTAGCTAATATGACAATATTAAGAATAGATTGCTCGTTTATACGCAATGGCAACCATTGCATACTGCTGTTAACGATTTTATTCTTGCTCTTTTGCTTGATTTCATATATAGTATTTTATTTCTACTAGGTAAAATTTTGATAATAGATATGAGGAATTCGAAATTATTTCTTCTCCGAAAATTCGTCGCGAACACATTATCGCTTTTGCAATTTTGATATGCTAATAAAAAACGTAGAAAAAAAGAATCAAATTACAAGCAAAACAATTTTTAGAATAATATTAATAATAATGCAATATAAATTTATTTAATTTTGCGATTTAACAATACGTTAGTATTCCAAAATTGAAATGTTATAAATACAAGTTATAAATTGAAAGTTATAAATACAATGAATTAATGATTGTATTTTTCTATATAAGATAGTGATATTTTATTTAATTCAATTTAATTCAATATTAGATATGCGACTTCATGGCTGTATGACTTTATGGTTTTACCCTACTCTGAATCGAGTGTCTTCAAAAATTAATTTTAAGTCATATTTACGTAATATTTTCTCAATTTGTTTTTTATAACCAGTCTTTTATTGTATTATTTATTTCAATTTTATGCAATGAATGCATAAAGTAGAATATGGCGTTATCAGGATTCGTATATCAGACCAGCAAATAGGAAGCCATTTGAAAGCGTTTAACATTCCTCACAGTAGAATAATCACGGAAATGAATTGTTTAGATTGACCTATGATCATCAAAGAACGCGTAATAAACGAAACTTAAGGATATTTACTTTCACTTTTTGCTCCGTCCATGAAAATTCTATTACCATCCTCTCACCCTTTTTCTATCTTGTCTCCTTTTCCACAACTCTTGTATCGAAAGTGGAACTACCGCCATGATAGCTTTTCTGGGACGAGTTTGAAAGAAGCTCTGTAAAAGAAATTCTGTGCATTTGACAGTTTCAAAGTTACTGCCCTGCGGACTGAACGGGATGACTGTAGAAAATAAGATAGTGAGACGATGTGGAAGACGAATTCTGTAGATACACGATTTTCAGATAGAGAGTTGTCTTTGTTAAACATCTTTTTCTTTTTGAGCATTATTCTGCATGAATAAACGAGAAAATTTATCTTTGAATAGCATTGAATTGTGAGAATAGCTGAAAATAAAACCTGTGACCAATAATATAACGCTATATACACATAAAATAGTTTGTGTTGTTAGCAAAATTTTGTTAAAGGAATCCTTAAAAATACATAAAAATTTTAACGATTTATAAAGAGGAAAATTTACTCAAAACTTATGAATGAAGTAATAAATTCAAATTTTTGACGACCCAAAAGAAAATTAACTTTATGTAATTATATAAGATTATATATACAGGGTGATAAAAAAAACCATTTAATATTTATATGGTAGATAGGAGACACTAATTTTATATGATCATATATAATAATATCCGAAATTGCAATCTTAAGAAGACGAAATTATTACTAAAAGAAATTTGGAGAGTATCAAAGCAGGAGGAAAAATTTATTTTAGGACGTATAATTCCACTGGGTCCAGTGCTCAGGGATGAAAGCACCAACGGCAACTTGGCCGATGGCGTTGACGAACTGTTGGAATCTCTGGTGAAAACCGCGACAAAAGCACCAGCCACGAGAACCACGCCACGCGAACGCAAGAGGACCAGACACGCCGATCGTAAGTCTTGTAAGTGTGATCCCAGCACCATGCACCAAGATTCTCCTCTTTATCGAACGATCTCTGGTCGAGGAATCGATCTATCAATCGGTAGTGGATTCCTATACGACAGCGTATTTGTGGATGCAACGATATAGATATTTTATCGTAAAATTACAATATGAATATCTCGTACAATAATATTTTAAATATTAAGATGTATAATAATTTAAGAAGAAACTGCAAATTATTAACTGAAATAATAATACATTACAAAAAAAGTATTATTATAGAAGAATATATACTGTATACATATATACATAGTGATTAAGAAAAAAAAGAGACCATCTTCCATTTTGTAAGTTTTTATCTCTAAAAACTATAAAAAAATAAGAAAATTTTGAATGTTTTTGGCTCAAATAATTCTTTATTAACTTAATTTGACGACATTACCGGAAAACGAGAAGTAAATGCGTCGCCGTCCTCGTGATTATACGGCGCGTTCGCGGATCCACTCCCTTTACCCTCGTGTTTAGCGGAACGTGAAACTTACCGGCGCGCGTAAGTCCCCGTTCGTTATCTTCATAGCACAGGGTCTTGTTCTTGGCGAGTTTCCCTTTTATGCGACTTGAATTTTCTCGCTCGAGATTCGCGACTGCGAAATGTTTGGGGGCTGCTTATATCCGTCGTGCCATTAAATCGTAAATGTAAGCTCGGCTGTAAGTAGTATTATCATTGCGAGAAGCGTCAAGATAGGACTTGTCTTCGACGGTCGAGCGTTGTTTTATAAATTCCGTATTTTTGAGAAAAAAATTTCAACTTGAGTAGAATTCTGTTTCACTCATTCTTTATCACGCTTTATGCGTCGTTACATAAGATGATAACATCGCCTCAAGAGAGCAGAATGTAAAAGTAGTTAACTTTCAGGGGGAATATTCGAAGCGACGTAGATGTTATTCGAGTTGCCACAGAGAAAAGTATATAACAACGCGAATAACAGCTTCTGAGAAATTTATTTCTAGAATTCGTTCAAAAAGAAAGAATTTTGTTAGATACATTGTTAAAAATTTTTATCGTAATATTCTTCACAAACTTATTATTTTTTATATTTTTTCTTCTCGATTATTTTTCAACTATTCTCTTTATATATATCAACTGTTATATCGTATATATCTTAAATAAATGTATTCATTGAATATAATTAGCAAATATATATTTCTCGCATTAAGAAATCAATATTGTAAATTAGTATATTTCTAAAATTTGTCTACTTTCATAGAGATCGAAATTTCGATCTTTCTCAATTTAATTTTTGGAAAGCATAATTAAACTTGAACATTAAAATTAATGAATTGTTAGAGATTAACTATTTATTAATTAATTACGGTGTATATTTAATTAGTTCACGTTTATAAATATATTTACTTTCACTTTGATTTAATATTACAAAGATGTTTTATTTTTATTAGTTTTTAGATATTTTTTTATAAATATTTAAAATATTGTGATTCTATCTAATCTTGATAAAGCAGTCAGATATTCAGCATTGAATTTAAGATCGAGGATCCATCCATTCAAGGTACAAAGATCTATCTCTATTACTTATGAGCAAAACCCCGTATAAGCCATTTCGGGAAGAAGATTCAACAGAAACGACTGACACACGTCTGGATCTCGTAAGACTATATTACATTGTAACCGCGGATCACCACTTTCTTGTGAGGAAACGTGGAATTTTTATTCCTGCTCCCTTCTGGTAGAGGAGAGGTACGTGGAGAATTGGACCGACTCGAACAAGGGTTGGTATCCACCCAGCCCTATACGGCTCGTAAACCTAACCACTCATGTGCATTACCGCGGCTGTGGCCATCATAAATTTTCTCCCCTTTATTCCCGTGCATGCTCCGACATAAAATATCTAAACGTCGCGTCTAAGTCGCGCTAGCGTTTCCAGCTGGATGTGGCGATCCTCTAGCAGTCTTAATAGCTATAAAAATCTCATGAATTGTGCGACGATAACTTGTTTCGATAGTTTGTTAGCTAATATGACAATATTAAGAATAGATTGCTCGTTTATACGCAATGGCAACCATTGCATACTGCTGTTAACGATTTTATTCTTGCTCTTTTGCTTGATTTCATATATAGTATTTTATTTCTACTAGGTAAAATTTTGATAATAGATATGAGGAATTCGAAATTATTTCTTCTCCGAAAATTCGTCGCGAACACATTATCGCTTTTGCAATTTTGATATGCTAATAAAAAACGTAGAAAAAAAGAATCAAATTACAAGCAAAACAATTTTTAGAATAATATTAATAATAATGCAATATAAATTTATTTAATTTTGCGATTTAACAATACGTTAGTATTCCAAAATTGAAATGTTATAAATACAAGTTATAAATTGAAAGTTATAAATACAATGAATTAATGATTGTATTTTTCTATATAAGATAGTGATATTTTATTTAATTCAATTTAATTCAATATTAGATATGCGACTTCATGGCTGTATGACTTTATGGTTTTACCCTACTCTGAATCGAGTGTCTTCAAAAATTAATTTTAAGTCATATTTACGTAATATTTTCTCAATTTGTTTTTTATAACCAGTCTTTTATTGTATTATTTATTTCAATTTTATGCAATGAATGCATAAAGTAGAATATGGCGTTATCTGGATTCGTATATCAGACCAGCAAATAGGAAGCCATTTGAAAGCGTTTAACATTCCTCACAGTAGAATAATCACGGAAATGAATTGTTTAGATTGACCTATGATCATCAAAGAACGCGTAATAAACGAAACTTAAGGATATTTCCTTTCACTTTTTGCTTCGTCCATAAAAATTCTATTACTATCCTCTCACCCTTTTTCTATCTTGTCTCCTTTTCCACAACTCTTGTATCGAAAGTGGAACTACCGCCATGATAGCTTTTCTGGGACGAGTTTGAAAGAAGCTCTGTAAAAGAAATTCTGTGCATTTGACAGTTTCAAAGTTACTGCCCTGCGGACTGAACGGGATGACTGTAGAAAATAAGATAGTGAGACGATGTGGAAGACGAATTCTGTAGATACACGATTTTCAGATAGAGAGTTGTCTTTGTTAAACATCTTTTTCTTTTTGAGCATTATTCTGCATGAATAAACGAGAAAATTTATCTTTGAATAGCATTGAATTGTGAGAATAGCTGAAAATAAAACCTGTGACCAATAATATAACGCTATATACACATAAAATAGTTTGTGTTGTTAGCAAAATTTTGTTAAAGGAATCCTTAAAAATACATAAAAATTTTAACGATTTATAAAGAGGAAAATTTACTCAAAACTTATGAATGAAGTAATAAATTCAAATTTTTGACGACCCAAAAGAAAATTAACTTTATGTAATTATATAAGATTATATATACAGGGTGATAAAAAAAACCATTTAATATTTATATGGTAGATAGGAGACACTAATTTTATATGATCATATATAATAATATCCGAAATTGCAATCTTAAGAAGACGAAATTATTACTAAAAGAAATTTGGAGAGTATCAAAGCAGGAGGAAAAATTTATTTTAGGACGTATAATTCCACTGGGTCCAGTGCTCAGGGATGAAAGCACCAACGGCAACTTGGCCGATGGCGTTGACGAACTGTTGGAATCTCTGGTGAAAACCGCGACAAAAGCACCAGCCACGAGAACCACGCCACGCGAACGCAAGAGGACCAGACACGCCGATCGTAAGTCTTGTAAGTGTGATCCCAGCACCATGCACCAAGATTCTCCTCTTTATCGAACGATCTCTGGTCGAGGAATCGATCTATCAATCGGTAGTGGATTCCTATACGACAGCGTATTTGTGGATGCAACGATATAGATATTTTATCGTAAAATTACAATATGAATATCTCGTACAATAATATTTTAAATATTAAGATGTATAATAATTTAAGAAGAAACTGCAAATTATTAACTGAAATAATAATACATTACAAAAAAAGTATTATTATAGAAGAATATATACTGTATACATATATACATAGTGATTAATAAAAAAAAGAGACCATCTTCCATTTTGTAAGTTTTTATCTCTAAAAACTATAAAAAAATAAGAAAATTTTGAATGTTTTTGGCTCAAATAATTCTTTATTAACTTAATTCTAATATTCACAGAACAAAAAAATAACATTTTCCTCAGATTAATTTTTTATCGTCTTTTGCGAAAAAAAAATATAGAAATTGTTTTAAATTTCTTATAATATTTGGAACACAAACTTGCAAAATAGGAGCAGTCTCTTTTTTTGTCAATCACTGTATATATATATGTGTACATAGTTTTTAATATATAAATTTATAACAAAACAGAAATTTACAAGCAATGTGAAAATTTGCTGTTGAAGTTTCATCGGCAATAGAAAACACTGAAATACGGTGCTAACCGTAAAATTTTCCAATAACTTTCGGTGCCACAAGAGCCTTGAATTATCCGGTACGCAGTATACATTATTGAAAATGGTTGGTCCACGAATAGAGCTGTGGGGTCACCGGAGCCGATCGATAAGCGAGAAGTTTGGAGATGTCGGCGTCGACGCCCTAGATCGAACATGCGATCGTGCGTGTGTCGTCGATTCGATTTTTCTTATATCTTTTTATGCACTTTATTAGCACCAATCTCTGTGTCTCTATCTCAATACTCGCGCTCATTTATCTATCTTAACGTACTGTTGCTATTGATAGAAAATTTAGTAATGTAAAACCTGTTCAATTTGGAAATTTTCGATGAGATGACTTGGAGTGTTTTCAGAGTAGATGGTATAATAATACATAACATAAAATTATAAATAATAATAAGGCGTAATTATATAGAGAACAAAGCACGGATATAATATCATATTGACATATGCATAATACATATGTACATAAAGTGAACATAAATGTTTCAGAAAAGTTAAAACTTCAGATATATATATTTTTTCTTTAATTTTGAAAGAATTTTTTAATTTATAATAATTAAATAGAAAAGAAAA